ATTTTCTTGAGAGTTAGACGATTGATTAGGAAAATGAGAATTTGAGAATTGGTTTCCATGTGATTGAAAAGATGATTTATAACCTTGGGAACCTTGGCCTTGCATTGGAGATGGAACATACTTTCCTTGAAAACCACCTTGGGGAGGGTTTGAGCCTTCCCCTTGGCTTTTCCAAGAGAAGTTTGGATGTTTCCTCAACCCAGAATTGTAGTGTGTGCCATAGGGATTATTCCCTTGGTTAACAAATGTGGCATTCACTTGTTCATGGTGTTCACTTTGCACATGTCCATGTGGTCAATTGGAAATAGAATGTAAAACACTAGAACAAGTCATGCATGCTTCATTAGATGGATGATGAACATGATTAGGGGAGGAAGACACTTGATTCACCGAATTTTGGTTGATCAAATCTTTGAGATAAAAACTTGACTTCGGCGGCTATGTCATTAGAATTGTCAACTTGATACAAGCCGACATTATTCCTTCCACCTAAATTTCTACCATTCTTGGAGGATAAGGATTTATGCATTGAATTTTCACTCATGCTTTCATAAAGATGCCAAACATCATTTTCATGCTTATCAAGATAAGAATCACCCATAGATGCATTAACTATACCCTTGTGATTATCCGGCAAACTTTCAAAGAAGTATTGAACTAAATACCACTTAGGCATGTCATAATGTGGACACTTCCTAAGCAAGTCATTAAATCTTTCCCATGCCTCATGAAACAATTCCCGATCCCTTTGAGAAAATTCTCTAATGAAAATTCTCATAGCAAGGGGGTTGGACGGTGGCGAGGTACCTTCAACCGGGGAACGGAAGGCTTGAAAGCTAAAGAACCAGTTTCGTACAGCGTTTGCTCTTGCATTCTCGTGAACTTTCAAAGATAAAGAAGCTGCATACCCTTAACAAAGTGGATTTATGAATTTGATTGAATTGATCTCGACACTTTGATCTTTGAAACCGGATAGTACTTTTTCAAGAATTCTTGTTGCATTTTCGCCCAAGAAGTTATCGAAAAAGGCCTAAGGTTGTTGAACCAATATTTTGCCTTATCTTTAAGGGTGAAAGGAAAAAGTTTTAATCTCAAAACCTCTTCCGGCATGTCTGTGTATTTCACGGTGAAACATACTTCAAGAAACTCATCCAAATGCTTGTAGGGCTCTTCACTTGGAAGTCCATGATAGTTAGGAAGCATTTGAATAGTTTGTGGTTTAATTTCATAGTAATGTGCTCTAAAAGGGGGTAGTTGAATGCATGTCGGTGCATTGTATTCATTTGGAACATAGTGATCACGCAAAGCAAGAGGAGGATTCACAACCGGTGGTGCAACATAAGCACCTTGATTGCCTTGAATAATGGGAGGTTGTGGAGCTAAAATTGGCCGAGGCATTCCCAATGGAACTTGACCTTGTTGTTGTGGAACAAATGGTCTTGGCATGCCTAATGGTACTTGAATATTGTCATGGTGCACATTAGGGTGGAGGATGCCTTGTTAGTCTATGTGACCAAGGTCCTCCATACGGTTCTCATTGATGTCTTCCATTGATGAAATGGAATGACTAGAATTACTCCTTCCCTTAGAATTACGAACAATGGATTCAAGATTCAAATTAAGTGGGACAAGAGTAGGATTTAATGATCTACGACTGTGTATGCACAAACAAAACATAAACAAGCAACAAGCAAGTAACAATTACTTTTCCTCCGCAACAAATCAACAATCAACAATCCTCCACATACGATGATCTCATACTCCCATGCTTTGAACAATATGCAAGAAAAATTAAATTGCCTCCACGCGGGCTCACAATTTAACTAGAGATTGAGTTTAGAAAAGCTCACAAAGGGTCCTTAAGCAACTTCAATTTATTTTTCAATTTTCGCTATGCCTTGCAATTTTTTAGATTTTAGCCTTTTTATGCTTAGCTTAGCTTCACTTGGCTTCTTTTGCTTTTCAATTTCCCTTTGTTTCACTCCCTTGGCTCAATTCACCTAGCCAATAAAAAACAAACACAATAAGTAACCAAAATAAAATAAAGTAAAAACACGATCAAAAGAATACTAATTCCTAATTATTTCCAAAATACGGCGTTACCTAATCCCCGGCAACGGCGCCAAAACTTGGTGCGGTCACTTACCAACAAGTAAAAATGTGTTAAAAAGTGACCAAGTTTAAATTTGCAAAATGCCACTACTACCTCTAACTATTAAATATAGCTAGGGTGAGTAGGGATCATCCCAAGGGATTGGAAGCATACTTTGCTTGGAAATAATGTGGATTAGTAGGTCGAGTGATCAAAATGTGATTTGATTGGTTAATTAAACTACAATTTTAAATTAAATGAAAACAATGTAGAATAATTGAATTAAGTAAAGTATAGAGGAATAAGAGAGAGAGGTCTTGGGACTTAGAGGTCACCACTAAGCATCACCTTTCTAGACATTCAATGTACAACCAATGAGGGGGAAATGTATGTTGCAATACTAGTGTGTGTAATTGATTGAATCAACAAGCATGGATGGCTAATTAAGTATACATTGTCTAGACAAACTAATGAATAGCAAAACATATCAAATTAAGCCATGGTCCTTCCCTTAAGTTCACCATCAAAACACATCAAGAAGTTAGAGAAATATACTACTTGCATTCATAAGCATTGAACATCAAACAACAAGCATGGATTGTTCTCCCATCTAAGAAAGTAAGGCAACTACACTACAACTAAGCTTGGGACATAAAAATCAAACTAATTAAACTAAGGAAGAGGCACAATCCATGAAGAAATGAGTATAAACCATCAAACAAGCTACAAGAGTATTCCATTTAAGCACCATGCCTTGACCATCACTAAATTTATGATATTAACACACATAGACATGCATCAATATAGCAAAATCTAAAGATAAACACATGAACATCTATTTTAGCATACATAGACATATGAATAGAATTGAATGATCAATTGGAAGTATTAAACTACACAAATCAAGATAGAAACAAGATTTATATATAACAAAGGTCAAGACAAGTATTACAACACAAATCCCCTCAAAATACAAAGCATCAAGGTCTAGGAAGTATGCTTAGGGCTAACTCTAGCCCCAAGAAGATGTTTAGCCACTCATTGATGTAGTCATCCAACCCTTAAGGGCCATCTCCATGGTAGGAATGATCTTTTTCTCCTTGATAGAAACCCTAGATGAGTGGAAGAACTCTCAAATGGTGTGTATGTCTCTAATATTTAGACTCCTCCAACCTATATTTTTTGATTGCGTATGATTCTCTATGATTGTCTATGTGTAAAATGGCTCAAAATCCTTATATAAGTAGCTCAAGTGTCACACCCAATGGTCAGACCTCGTGCACTAGGGCCCTTTCAATGATTGTACCACGAGCCATCTTTTAATGAGCTGGAACTCTGTTTTTCTCAAACTTGAGGGGGTTCGATCGATCGAAATTTGGTAAGATCGATCGAAGTATAACCAGATCGATCTAAGAATAGCCAGATCGATCAAACCTTGGCGGCACCTTTTTGGAATAATGACAAATTTGAGATATTTTTGGGATATTTTGGGAAAAAGATAAAAGTCGTAGGTGGGGATAAGATTAAAGAAGTTCAATCGATCGAAAGGATGTTGGATTGATCGAAGATGGGAATTCTTGAGGATAAGGACAAAGGGTTTGATCCATCTTGATAAGGCTGGATCGATCACTGTGAGATCGATCGAATATTGGTCTGATCGATTGAAGCTTGTTGTTTTCCACCACTTTGCTTCCACTTTGCTCCTTTCTTCCATTCAGCTTGAGATTGCTTCTTTTATGCTATAATTTGGCTGAATTAACTTATTTTGGGGCTAAGTGCCTGAAAAGGGCAATAACATGAAATTAGTCTAAAACGAGAAAATAAGATAGATAAATGTCCTAGAATACTCGAGCTTAAGGGGTTTAAATGCGCACTTTTCAGCGCTCGTCAAGATGCCTTCGCTGTCGTCTGATTCACCGCATTCTTACTCCCCAAAAATATATTGTAACAAGTTCGCACAATCTGCAACAAACAATCACCATGTATCCTCAGTGACACTGATGTCACCGCCGATAACAGCGTCTTGAGCACCTGCAATTCAACTACCTCGTCGCCCAAATCGTGACATTCGTCTCGGGGCCTCCGGCGGGGTCTGCCTCGCTGCGAAGGTAGCCGTGGGCAATCAATTTCTAGATCTAATCGACGGCGGGATCAACGATCTTGACATTGTTAGAACTGCAGGCGTTGATTATGGGGTTGAGGATGAAGTCGTAGTCGGCGAGGGAGTATTCGGCGGTGGGGTCGAGGACGTCGGGGATAGATGAGGTGTCAGGTTCTGATTGGTCGTCGGGGGAGGTAGGAGAGAAGTGTGGTTTCTTCGGCGAAGTAAGTCTCTCGAGGAACGATTTGCATTGGTAGATGAGCTTGGAGTGCTTGCGCTAAGAGCCTTGCTTGATGATCTTCTCTAGGGCTAGGATGAGGACCTGGTTCAGACGGGAATCGGCTTCCGAAGAAGCCATTCCCGAGGGGTGAGAGATCTCGGTGGAAACTGAAAATTAAGGACGTGTTGAGGGTTTTTTTTTGTAGTTTTTTTGATGAGCTTAGTAGGTGTGGTTATAGTGTGAGATCGAATCGGTGGAGGAACATGGTAGTTTGAAGTTCGTTTAGAGGGAGAGGGAAAGGGAGGAGGAGAAGGGGAGAGAAGAAACTGCTAGATCGCGTTTTGTGTTGGTGACTTAAATGTCACCAACACAAATTTAGTAATGGGTAAAATACTAATTTTGTTTTTTTTAATTCATTTGATATATTATTTAATCGTATATATTGTGTAATGTGATCAATTTTCATAATATTAAGACTTTCTAAAGTAGGTTGGGAATATTTGGTTACGATAGTAGTGGGGATTTCGTTAAATTTGCCCATAAATAAATAAAGAATTACCAACTTTTTTTCTAGACCGACCATTGACTTCCCCGGAGTACGTCAGTTTTGGTTTCCCATTTTTCTACACGAAGGTTTACCTGTTGAAGTGAGAAAGAGAGAGCTGAGGTGGTTGTCCTTTGAAGTTGAAAAGGCAGATCTGGGGATGGAACTGTATGAGGAGTTATGGCCGTTTCTTCTCTCTGCAATTGCTTCCATGTATTTATTTTCTGGGTATTGGAAGAAGACAAACACAAATACAGTTATTAGTGATGATGAGATAAACCCTTCTTTTTCAGATTCAGAATCACCTTCAAACCCTAATTTTGAAGATGATTGGAAGGAGTCAACCCCTCCTAATTCTTCAAAGAAGACAAACACAAATACGGTTAGTGATGATGAGATAAATGCTTCTTTATCAGATTCAGAATCATCTTCAAACCCTAATTTTGAAGATGACTGGAAGGAGTCAACCGCTCCTAATCCTTCATCCTCCATCCCTCGCGCACCATCGATGGAGGAGTATGATGTCTTCTTGAGTTTCAGAGGCCCAGACACTCGCTACGGCTTCACAGATATCCTCTACAACTATCTCAACGACGCTGGAATTCGCACCTTTAGAGACAATTGGGAGCTTCGCGAAGGAGAAGAGTTCGGCCCGGAACTTCTCAAAGCAATCACGGAATCGAAGATTTCCATCCCGATCTTTTCCCGAAACTATGCTTCGAGCAAGTGGTGCCTACGCGAGCTCGCCATGATGGTGGAGTGCAAGAGAAGTATGGGCCAGATCATTTTACCCATTTTCTATGACGTTGATCCCATCGACGTGCGGCGTCAAATGGGGAGTTACCGGGAGGCCTTCAGCGAGCACGAGAGTCGTTTTGATGCCGAGACTGTACTGGGATGGAGGGAGGCACTGCGTTATGTAGCATCATTGTCAGGATGGGATTTGAACAACGAAACTGGAGGGTAATTTACTCCTGCTTAATGGACTCATTATTATTAAAAATGGAACTTTTTGTCGATTTAGTTATCTCTTGATTAACTAATTCAAATCAAGGGAAACCAATGGTGGTTCGGTATTTGTTCGACATGTCCTATGATATTATTGTTATTTAACATATGCTCAATTAGAATTTTAGAATTAAGAATCCTTGTTCACTATCAAATTAAAATTTTATTTTATTTTTAATCATAACATGTAGATTTAGAGTACTGATGCTAAATGTGTGAGAACATTCTAACTTATAATTTAGGCAAGTAAAGCTGGGGATGATTTACATGAGTACTTCACTTTTCAGCATCAAAATTTTCTTCTTGCTTATGAATGTCTACATTGAACTGCATACATCAATCTTTGATCTTTATGTTTAACTTTTCCTTCCATTGGTTACTTGCTATATTCCATTTGATATGAATTATATATAGCAGGGATCAAGGAAAGCTAGTGAAGGCGGTTGTTTCAAAAGTGTTGTTAGAGTTAAAGAAAGGTTACATGGAGGTAACTGGCTATTTGGTTGGAATTGATCATCACATAGAACAAATGATGAGATTGTTAAATGTTGACTCTAGTGATGTAAGGATCGTTGGAATCCATGGTATGGGTGGGCTTGGCAAGACAACTATTGCCAAGTTAATCTTAAACAGACTCTCTAAGGGCTTTGAATACTGTTGCTTCCTTGAAAATGTTCGAGAAATCTCACAAAAACAAAAGGGTCTTGTTAGTCTGCAAAATCAACTTGTCTATTATTTACTAAAACGAGAAGGCCCAAACATATTTAATGAAGATGATGGAATCAGAATTATCCAAGACATAGTTTGCACAAAGAAAGTTCTCATTGTTCTTGACGACGTGGATCATATTTCTCAATTTGAAAAGCTTGTAGGGAAGCGTGATTGGTTTGGTTCAGGAAGTAGGATCATGGTTACAACAAGAAACAAAATGGTTCTAGATTTGATTGGAGTAGATTGGGCTTACGAACCCCCAATAATGGAACTTCCTGATTCTCTTCAACTTTTTAGCAAACATGCCTTTAGAAAGGAATTCCCTCCAGAAGACTATGAACTTCTCTCCAAAGATATTGCATCCGCTACTGGAGGACTTCCTTTGGCCCTTGAGATTCTAGGTTCATTTTTATCTGGCAAGAGGAAAGAGACATGGGAAGCAATGTTGAAAAAACTCGAATTTATACCGGATGACAAAGTTCTTACAATATTGAGAATAAGTTATGATGCTTTAGAGCATGGGGAAAAGCAGATATTTCTTGACATTGCATGTCTTCCCATTAGAGTGGACAAACAAATTGCTTTATATATGTGGGAGGATTGTCAATTTTATCCTGAAACTGGGATTGATAGGCTCATTCTCATGTCTTTGGTGAAAATTGGAGATGATAATACACTATTGATGCATGACCAGCTTAAACTTCTCGGTAGAGAAATTATCCGTCGGGAAAATTTCAATGAGCCAGAGGCGCGTACTAGGTTGTGGTCTCATAAGGAAGCCTTGGATGTATTGAAGCGACACATTGTAAGTTTCGGTGCATCATATCTTTTTTATTTTTATTTTTTATTTTTTATTTTTTTTATATAATACTGCTCATCATGATCAAACTTCTATTAAGTTGAAATGATCATATGTTTCTCAGATTATAAAACAATCTTTAGTACTTTCACTTCTTTTTGTTAGAACACTATATTATAAATATATTGTTTACTTATTTTATTGTTTTATATTGGTAGGGTACTGAAAAGGTTGAAGTCCTCTGTCTTGACTTCAAATTGGAGGATCGGGGTGTTTGTTTTAGAAGTGAAGTATTTGCAGGATTTTCTTATCTAAGGTTTCTCAAAGTGGACTATGCAGAACTAGCTGGAGATTTTGATTTTCCAGGATTAAGATGGCTTCATTGGCACAAATGCCCAGGGAGTTCAACGCCAACCAATTTTCGTCTCGAAAATCTAGTCATTCTTGATCTATCATCGAGCAGCATTACAGATGACTGGGAGGCTTGGAGTCAGTTCAAGGTTAACAGGGTATACTGCTATTCTTTCTATTATAGCACATTCTTCTTTGATTTTAACTTTTATTTTTGTGATTATTTTCTTGTTTTGCAGATGGCAAAAAAGCTGAAAGTTCTAGATCTTTCATTTTGCAATGGCTTAACTAGAACTCCTGATCTCACCACATTTGCATCTTTAGAGAGATTGATTCTTATAGGCTGCAAAAATATATATCGCATTGATCCATCCATTTGGAATCTAATACGTTTGAGAGTTCTTAACATTAGTCAATCTGCCATAACAAATTTACCTGATGGTATTGGAAATTTGAAGGATCTTGAAGAGTTGGATGCCTCGGGTTGTAATAGTTTGAGAGGGGAAATTCCAATTAGGATCGAGAGATTGTCCTCTTTGAGAAATTTGAGATTAGATTTTACGAAGGTTTGTCACCTTCCAGAAAGCATTTTTGAGCTTCATAGCCTTCAGACTCTCAACTTACTCGGCTGCAAAGAGCTTCAATCACTGCCACAGCTTCCTCCTAGTTTGACTTGTCTACTTATCGCATGTAAAGAAATGGAGGCATTTCCAAGGCTTTCTAACCTGACGAGTTTGAAGACATTGACTTTTTGTAATACTGGCATTAGGACCCTACCAGCAGAGGTTGGTGGCCTTTCGGGGCTCAAGCAACTTAAAATAGAGTTCTGCCATAATCTTCAGTGCATCATGGGACTCCCATCACATTTACTCAAACTGTCTGTTGAGGATTGCAAATCATTGCAAAGATTACCAGATCTCTCAAATTTGAAAATTTTATCAGAACTAAATGTTTCTGATTGCCCTGAGCTAATAAAGATTCAAGGCCTTGGGAAACTAGAATTGCTGACAAGTCTAAACATTTCATGCTGTCATAAACTACACGAGCTTGATGGTCTTGAACTGTTAGAATCTTTGAGATACTTGGACATGACAGAGTGTTCCTTCAAAGAATTACCAGATGTATCCAACTTAAAGAAGTTACAAAGATTTGTTGCCATGGACTGTGTGGACCTGATTGACATTAAAGGCCTAGACAGATTGGAATCCTTAGAATATTTGGATTTACGTGAGTGCATGTCCCTGGAAAAATTACCTGATTTGTCAAAGTTGGGAATGCTGAAAGAATTAGTGCTTTGTGAATGCGACAACTTAGTTGAGGCTGAGGGCATCTGGGTATCGAAATCCTTGGAGAGATTGGATATGTCAAATTGCGAACAAATAGAAAAATTACCGGATCTGTCACGCCTGGAAATTTTGAAGGAATTAAAAATCATTCGTTGGGAGAACTTAACTGAGACCGACGGACTTGAGAAGTTGAAATCATTAGAATTATTGAACATTGCTGGTTGCAAGTCACTGAGAAATTTACCTGATATATCAAACCTGAACAGTTTGATTACTTTAATAGTTTCTGGTTGTGGGGAGCTAACTGAAATCTTGGGACTTGAAAATTTGAAATCTTTAAGGTTATTGGATATTACTGGATGCAAGTTGATTGAGGAATTACCGTATTTGCTGAACACAGTGATACACAGGCATTCATCAGAGACACTGCTTCTTACATGTTCCTAGCAAGCTACCTGGTGGCCTGGTATCTCTCAATTTTCTGTTAAACTGTTTCCTTTTTGCCTGTGAAATATTCCTTGACAGTTTGGTAAATGTCTTTTGTTTTTCCATTTGCTGTACAATTATAATTGTTCATAGCAAGAATAATTAATTACTAAGTTGAAAAGCCGTCTTGGTGCATCATTAGCAATTATTTGTCTTCCTGATGATCTCCTTAATGGGTGTGGCTCATTAAGAGCACGGTAAATTTATCTAATTCTTTGTTTTAGTTCAGTTTCTTTGGTCCAAACTTTGTCTGCATTCACAAAACTATGTAACGTGTAAAATTTCACAACGATTGTGCTATTTTGATGGCATATGCTCTAGTGAACTATTTTCTCTTTTCTGTTTTTGTTTTGAAAGGAATTTTATTTTAGTATCAAGCTGCAATATATGTAGGTATCTTGTCATTTCACATTTCAGAGTGAAAGAAATTAGGATTGTTGCTGCTATCCAGATGGAACTTATGGTTGTTCTTTCTCCTATTAAAACTGTCCAATCAAAATACAATTATCTCTCTAGAAAGTTCTCTACATGTAATGGGAATTTTGTTGCTGGTACAGTCATACTGTCATCTTGACGTCAACTGCTTGTATATGTTCTTTCTTGTCCATTTTTTGTTGCCATCACAACCCTCTCCCAGAAGACTTTGCTCTTGGTATAGTAACTGTATGCGCTCTGATGAAAACTGAAAAACCAACCATAAATCTTTACTTCTTCATGCATCTAAATTTTTGTGTGGCAACCTCAACATCATTCAAGCTTGGCTTGTTTGTTAAACTAGCCTAAAAAATGAGCTTGAGCTCGGTTTGCTTACTTAATGAGGATTGAGCAAAAGCTGAGCCCGAATTGTTTAGTTCATTTGCAGCCCTACTACTTACGAAGTAAATTAGTATATAAGTTATGTTAGTTATTTAAGTAATTATTGTATATTATTAGCGTAATTAAGTTTATTGGTATGACTAATTTAAGTAATTAGCAATATGAAATAGACAAATAATTGGTAATATAAGTAACTATTATTTCCTTATATTACTTAGTTATTCTTATATAAGTAATTAAGTAATATTACTTATAAAAAAGAAAAGAAAAGTAATTAAGTAATATTACTTATTAATAATAATTTTGATATTAAGTATATAGGTAATCATTAACATAAATAATTAGTAATTGGTTATTGTTGAGAAACAGAGAGATGAAGATGGAGGCTGCAATTCTTCTTATTTCATGTATTCTGTCTATAATAAAATGAAGCTGAGGAAGCATTTCAGCAAGAAGAGAGGAGGATGTTCAGTCTGTGGCCAAATCTAGCTTGCCTGTTCTTTATTTCCTGGTTGTTAATGGAAGAAGACCTCTGGGCTAGGGTGGCTCAACGCATTCTGCCAAAGGGGGAACAACACATCAAAGGAAATAAAGATTGGGTCATTCGGTCACTACTCCATCTCGATCCCGATTGGGACAAAAGTGATTATCACAGATGCCAGATCTACCAGATCTACTGTTGTTAGACGGATACCTAACGTTTATTTTACTTCACGAGACCCCGCTCGCTATCAGTGTTGATCAATAGAGTTCAAGTCACAGCTTTTAGGTGTGAGCAAGGAGCTAATAGGGAGCTGATAGTAGGTGGTATAAGGCGCTAACCACTTGTGCCTCTAGAATATGGAGTTTATGGTATAGTATTGTAACCTGAGGTGGGTCAATCTTTCGTTTCACTGCTATTAAGTGTCTACACAGTCAGTTTCTCATCCATCTCTCCAGCATTGACATCATCGTCGTTGTAATCTTCGGATCGGATTGGTCAACTTATTCTTTTAATTCAGTATTGAACTTCTGTCTTTTAAGTCTGAAAGGAAAGACGTCTATATACCGTGTTAGAGCTCAGATTAATAGAGTCAGCAAGCTCTGGTTACTGCTCTACAGATGAGGTGTATTCATTGCCATTCTTGTACTCATTCATCTTCTTGTTTTATGAGTTCCTAGTTTGTCTTCTTTTCTTTCTTGAAGTGTACAGAGTATTTGACACCATTCGGCCATGGATGCAAAGAGACTCAGCGAGTGAACTAGGTTTTGATACAAGTACAAGAATTGGCTATCTACATAATGGCCCTCCTAACTATACGTAATTACATTATTGACCCAACATAAAAATATAACTATTCTAACACTCCCCTTCAAGCTGGAGAATATATATCATATAATCCCAGCTTGGAACAAATAGTTTTTAGCCCATTATGAACAAGAGCTTTGGTAAACATATCAGCTAATTGATCTTCAGATTACACAAATGGAGTAAAAATATTCCCACTTAATATTTTTTCTCGAATAAAGTGACGATCAACTTCAGTATGTTTTTCATGAAACCCAGGATTGGATGCAATGTGAATATCTGCTTGGTTATCACAGAACAACCAAATAGGAGTGACTATCATCCAAAGTTCCTCAAGAAAGTGTTGTAGCCATGTTAACTCACTAGAGGTATGAGCCATGGCTCTATACTCAGCTTCAGCATTAGACTGTGCTACCACTGTTTGCTTTTTACTTCCCCATGTAACAAGATTTCTTCTTACAAATGTGCAGTAACCTATAGTGGATCTCCTATCTAAGGGACAACCAACCCAGTCAGCATCTGTAAAACCTTTCACCTTGAGATGTCCATTTGATTTATAAAGCAACCCAAAACTTGGAGCTTGTTTGAGGTATTGGATAATCCGAAGAACAACATTTCAATGTGGCATCCTAGGAGCTTCCATGAACTAACTTACGACACTCACTGCATAAGAAATATTAAACCGAGTGATAGTAAGATAAATTAATTTCTCAATAAGACGTTGATATCTACTAGGGTCATTAAATAGATCACCCTCATCAGATAAGAGTTTTGTAGTTGGATCCATAGGAGCATTAATCGAACGAAATGAAGCTATATACAAGTACAAGAATGGGCTATCTACATAATGGCCCTACATAAATATATAACTATTCTAACAATAATTAAATTATGTAGAAATTGTTTATACAAGTAATATAGTTATATTACTCATGTAGTTAGTAATTAATTATTAGTTACTTGTATATAGCAACTTAATGCTTATTAATTAATTTATTATTTAATTGCTTATTAGATATTTATTTGTTATATAGTTAATATAAATCAATATTAATTATTACATATATATGACTTATAACTTATATACATTCCCTATTAAGTTTACGTATCTACGAGCAACATATGGTTTTCAGACATTCTTCACAAGATTTTTTATTTTCATGGTTTGGGTAACAAATTAATTCTGCTTCCTAGTATCCTCTGATTGGTTGCTTTCTGAACATGGGGTGGAACAAAAGGCTTTGATTTGCAGAGGGCCTAATGCCTAGCGAGGACTGATAATCATCATAGCAATTAGTTCCTTCAGCATGAACATAGGTCCGCATCAGACGCATCCTTGAGACAGTAGCGCTGGATGTAGGGATATCACAAAGCACAAATAATTCATCATAGCTTTTCGATTAGTTTTATAAGAATTAATGCAGTTTGCTTGTTCAATGTTATTAAAGGCCACCAAGGCTCCAAAAATTTCCCCATGCTTGTTAAGGCTCAGCTGAAACGCATTAACCTGCTGTAGGTCAAGCAGGCTGCCAGTAAATACCATGTGTGCTCTTTTTAGTAAGCTTTAGGCTTAAGAAAAGTGTGCCTTTATTTTCTGAATCATTTAAGCATATCGTTTTCTTTTTTAATGGCCTTTAATTGATATGCTCGATATCATATCATAACACCATATTATTCATTGATTTTCTTGTTTAGTCTTATAAGATATTTGGTGGAATTTATGAGTTTATGGTTGACAGCTTATAGATTAAACGCATCTACGGTTTGATTTCAAATAGAGTATATTATATTAAATGCGTTTAGTTCTCGTTTTCAGTTTTCAGCAATATTTGATTTTCATAGCAAAATAATTTCATTTCGTTTGGTTGAAATGTTGAAGTTGTGTACCTTTCAAAAAATAAATAAATGTTGAAGTTGTGTACCCTGCCGTTAAGATTCTTTAGTTTTTCTCCAATAACCTGTTATATTCTTCAGGTTTTCTAGATCAAATATCCTCAGGTTTTCAATGAGGAGGAATCAGGGCTTTTACCATGTGGAGAACGTGCATAATGGACTGTATGATTGTGTATAATTTGTATATATTATTAATTACCTGTATGAAGTGGGTTGTAGTGATTATCTTTACTAAGTTGCTCTTTTTATTTTTTATATATATATATATATATATATATATATATATATATATATATTGTTTTAGCAGTCAAATGAGCTGTTGGATCATATCCAGTTTGATCAGGGACACGCTGCCAGCAGTCCATCCATTAGAAATGTTAGTATTGTTCCTTGCATTCCCTTGTATTAGATGTCATGAAACTTTATAATTGATTGTTTGCTCTTATGAATTTCAGCTACAAGAAATTATATGAGAATTTGATCATGAATGCCAACAAGCATTCCTGCAGTTTTTTACTGGGCACATCGGCTTACTCCTGGACGCTTGGAGTCTCTCAGTCCACATTTGACAATTTTTCGTTAGGTATTTACTTAAGACAGGGTTCATTTCACCAATTTTTTATACCTCTTGTTTGATAGTCATTTGATTAACTCGTTTTCTGTTGTTTTTACCAGCATTCTAGCTGATGTCCAGATGCTGACCTGCCCAGTGTAATCTCTTTTGCCAGTTACCTGAAGCTGTGTGCTTACTCTTCAAAGGTGACTCTTTCTCAGGTGTTGGAGCTGATTGCTGTGAACATGATTTGGAATGCTTTTTGATGGCATCCTCCTTTTAAAGTCATGTCAAAAGCACTCCAGGAAAAAGCAGAGAAAATAAAATTATGTTGTCCTTTAAAAACACTTTCACACTCCCTAGTTATCTCAAAAAGTATTTTTATACTCAATTTTTTGAGGATGATTTTACTATTTTCCTTACTTAAAAATAGGGTGAATTGCAAAAGTCAAAAGTTGAGTCTGAATATCACATTCCAAAAAAGAAAAGTTCTGAAGCGGGTTGAACCACATGAATCATGGGCCTGCACCGCACGATATACAACTCCTTATTGCTGCTCTTTACATATCTATATAATTTCCTAAACATAATTTGAGCAATTTTGAGTAAACAGCTGCAATTTTTTTATGCATTTTTCAGAAAATTGGCTAAATTATGTATTCAATGCATATCACACCCCTTACGTGCAAAAAATACTTTTAAAATTTTAATATGGTGCACATAGGTTTCTTTGGCAAATTTAAACCCTAAATTATCTTTATTGAACTATTTTATAAAATATATAAAAATAAATAATTTTGTAAAATGATTGAAAAAAATATTATTGGAGGACACCCCCTCGCGTGCAAAAACACACCCCTAGAGTTTTAATTTGGTACAAATAAGGGTCAACTGACAAATTTAAATCCTAAGTTGATTAAATTACAATTGCTGAACTATTTTATAAAATATATAAAAATAAATAATTTTGTAAAATAACCAAAAATGACATTATTGGAGAACAACGACAATGGACAAGTAAAGATAAAAATAGAAAATAAAAATATAAAAGAAAAGTAAAGATAAAAATAAAAAGAAAAAAAAAACATTATTTGATCCGATATCCGAAAATTAGTGCACACTGATATTGAGATTTTTTTATTATTAATTTTTTTTTTTAGTTAAACAATGTTGGTACGAAAAAAAAAAAAAAAAAATAGTAGATAATAATAAATGAAATATCAAAAAATTCAAATCCTTATTCTATAAATTCTCAAAGTTCAAAAAAAAAAAAAAAAAAAAAAAATGTTTTGAGATATATATAGAGAAAAAAGTTTTGATGAAAAAAATATATAAGGTAATGTGTACATAATATCCTATATTATGAGATGAGTAACATATATACTCCCTTTGGCATTTTCAGAAGAATAAAAGATAAAGTGAGTATTACAGTACTAATTTATGTCAAATGAGGTATTTTTGCATAATATAAAAAGATTAGAAGTGTTTTTTATATACTTTTTTAAATAAAGAGTAAATTTGTTATGCAAATTATATTTTAGGAATGTTTTATGTACTTATTTCTTTTTACATCGATTCATTTTAAAGATTTTTAATGGAATGATTCTCTTATTAGCTACTTAAAATACCTCAGGTTTGAATCCGAGCCTGGCCAAGTAAATGAATGGCCGGGACTGGGCTTCAGTGTTAATAATGTTTGTCTGGATTGGATTCAGGTCCAGGTGCAGTCAGATTCGGCTCGATCATGTCTCCCTAGCCAATGTCAAAATAAATTTAAAAAAAAAAAAAAAAAAAAGGAAATACAAGAACGGCTTTGTCAGAGGACCATTAATTTGGAAGCATGACCCGACTCAACCGATACTCACATGTGGTGGACGCCACCACAGGTTGAGTTTGAAATTTTCTTTAATTTGGTACTTTGCCAAACGATTTTTTATTGAGATGTTTGGAAGCCCCTATCTTTTCTTTTTATTTTTTGTCCTTCTTTGTGCCTTGGTATTTATTACTCTCGCGAAATAGTGTGTGCTTTCAAACAATGAAAAATAAATTGGAAAAAAGAAAAATCAACAGTAATTTTTCTCTCACAAAATTACGCAAAAGCTCTAATAATAAGTATGTCTATTGTTGTTAAGAGTTAAGGAATAAAGAGTTCAAATAAAAATAGAAAAATGTGATTTAAAATCATATTTGACGTCAAACAATCTCGAAGCTAGCTATCAGGAAACGTAGTTGGCCAAATTGAAAAATTTGCAACCCCGCAAGTTTAAAATTTCCGCAACTTTGACCTTCGTTGAGGGGTTTACACGAACTCAAAATTAGGGGTTTACACGAACTCAAAATTAAACAAATAATATATACAGTTGGAAAGCTTATTGAGTCTAGATTTTGATCATATAAGACCATCTTGAAACTTCAATTATGGAGGGAGAAATTGTTAAAATACTACAGACAAGTTAGATATTGACTGAACATTCCCCATGTTGGTATTGTTTCAAAGCCCACTCAACTCATGTTCCAAGGTTTTGAAAACATACTTTGACTCTTGAAAACATTCAAAATTCTTTGTAAAAAACAAGTGTACTCACGCACTCATTTACCTCTTCTAATTGATGTTTAAATATGATGTACATCTATTGAGCTTGTGTCAATCACGTTTTGTTCAACTTTCGGAGACTAAATTAAACATAAATTAAAACTCAATTAAAATCTTAGTATAACTTACCCAACAATCTATACTAGGGATTAGGGATCGCAACGGGAGAGGGTTTGGGCAGGTGTACCCTCTCTCGCCCTCGCAACCGTTTAAAAACCTTACTCCTGTTTCCACCCAAAATTACAAAAACGGGGAGACTTTTCACCACATCCCCACCCCCGTTTAACATCTTTACCCCCATAGGTACCCGCCTCGCCTCGTTTAAGACCAGAATTTCTCCTCCATTTAATTTTTTTTATCAACTAAAAGTATAGAATTATTGAAAAGATTTATATAAAAAAAAATGTACAATAAATAGTTTAACATAAAATTCAACATTAAAAACATTCTAAATGGTCGCGCATGCTACTTGTTCTAGATTTTTAGATTTTGTTGCAAAACAAATATCTTAATATATATACTAATGAAATAAGGATATTTAAGTAATTTACCTATATAAACGGGGTGGGGCTACCTCCTCCCGCCTCCGCACCGAACTAGTGCGGATTTTCAATATATCAAACCATTCCTGCTCAAATAAACTAAATGGTTTCCAAAACCGCCAAAAATCAGGCAGAGTGGGGCGGGTACCCATGGGACGGGGCAAATTGCCATCGCTACTAGGGATCCAAATGGCTCTCGTCCTGTTACCATAGTTTGATGGTGATAAAAAAAAAAGACATATAGAGTTTTATGGGTAATCATATATAAGTAATTAAATACCATAATTATCAGTTTATATATTTATCGTCCTAAAGTACTCGCAATTAAAGACCCTTATTTGTTTGATTTAGCCCAGTTTGGCCTATAATTGAGGTCAATCACAACCCCAAATTCCGGCTCAAAGATAAAGCCCAATGGCTTGATTTTCATTCAATCTGTGATCTGGGCCTCAATCTGGCAAATTTTGTTGGACGAGTCTATCAGTGTTCATTGCCCAATAGGCTTGTTCCTGCAACAATATTTTAGCAGCTTTAGATTCTTATGTTCAGTTTGGTTAAAAGGAAATAGCAACAGAAGAAAGGAAATGATTTTTTTTTTTTTGGTATAGTTTTATGTTATTCAAACAATGATACATGAATTTTTAATAGTTTTCTTGAAATTTTTTTATGCTAACCAAATACATAATGAAAAATTTATATTTCTTTCGTTCACTTTACTTTCTTTTACTTCAACTTTCCACTACTAATTTCCATCTAACTAAACGAGCTTTATTGTTAGTCGATTAAGCAACCCTGTTAACTCTCTTTGGTCAACAGTCAGTAGAGTAATGGTTTGGGTAAAAGAATAAAACAAATCTCGAATTAATTTTTATAAATATGCTAAAGCAAATCGGTTAAGATGGTTGGTTGTTTGGACATGTGCCAAAAAGACCTTTAAGTGTGTAGAGTTAGTAAAGAAAGATATGATAGCGTTGTAACGACCCTAAAAGATACCAAAATAATAATAATAAAATATATAAAATTTCGGCATGACCTCCGCAGAAAAAGTTCCTTTACAACTTGTTGAAATACATAAAAATGTAATAGCTTCACTGGGCTTAAAACTAATCTATCCTGTCCCAACGCATAATACAAATATTATATCACATTCCCAAAATGATTACATACGTATAAAAAGTCCCCTTCCTCCATCTCATCCAAACAAGGAACACATCTTAGTTACATCAAGTTACAGTCCATAAAATGTAGCTAAAATTTAAAAGTCCTCACAACATTATACTAATTAAAATAAAGTTTCATAAAATAGTTAAGATTACATTTACAAAATATTAGAGTTCAAATACAAAAGATAACAAAATAAAATAGATCTCCAGGCTCGTCTAAACCTGTGGTGGATCGTCGTCTACCACCTCTTTTCTGTATCCTGAAAAATGTTAAAAAAAATAATGGGGTGAGCATAAACTCAGTAGGAAGTGTCTAAGACACACTTCTTATGACCCTGTGAATCCATGCAAAGAATAGAAAAAAAGTAGACGGAATTATGTCAATTCCGGGAGAAATACAATCATAATATCAATAGCAATAATCCAAATCACAAATAAAACATGTCATGTTATAGGATACAATGTCATGTAATGTTTCTCCCCAATTCCCAAAACAAATTTCATTTCACCGTTTCAAACTGCTAATGCAACCCGACCCATAGCACCTTTATGGCGTCACGAGGAAAGGGTTGGCTAGCAATCCTCGACCACATAACACCTCCATGGCGTCGTCTGAGCTTAGGTAGCTCAACCACAATAGAGTCTCTCTTTAGTTCCCTCTAGATCATATTAACACCACAGACCACTAGGCGCCTCCTAGGCGTCCGGGTTTTCACAAAATCATTTATCAAAGCATTTTCCAAAAAAATCATTTTTTTTTTCCTTTCTTTCCAAAACATCTTTCCCAATGCCATGCGTGAATGTCCATATATTATAATATCGTGAAATAAGGAAAAATCATGCCTTTCGATGCTGTGTCAATTATACATTCTCATGTTTCACACTCAAACCTTAATCACATAGCACGCTTAACAAAAAAAAAAAAAATAATAAATTCTAATAAAAATCATGTCATGCTTTCTAATAACAAGTATTCGGCACATTAGGCATATAAAACATGGAACAATTTACTTAGGCATACTTTTTCACATCATATCAACAAAATCCAACACATACATATCACCTACAACATTGAAAATCTAAATTTTATAAAATTGTCACAAATTAAACATACATTTCAACAAGAATTGAGAAGTAATTCACAAAAATCAAAGAATTTATGCCTTAGAAATCCCCTACCTCAAATGAAAGAAAAAGCCCTAATTTGAGCCCTAAATTCGAAATCCCTAGGCTTGGCCAAATGGTGATTGGCTCCTATCAAATTGACGGCCTCGACGAGCTCTCCAATTTTGCTTCACAAGGTTCTATCAAATTCTCAAAGATAAAGGAGGGATCAAGCTTATAAATTTGTATGAAAAGAAAAAGAAAAATGAGAAAAAAGAGAGAAATATTCTACTGAGAGAGAGAAACAATCTGCCTGTGTAATGGCCTTATGGCCTTTATAATTGTTAAAACATTTTTGTGGGTCCCACGGCTTAAAAGAATTCTTTTAATATATATATATATATATATATATATATATATATATATATATATAATTTATAAACATTACATTCTCCCCAACTTTAAAGGATTTCGTCTTCGAAATCAAACCAGCCATACCTGAGGGAGAAAACAACTCTGGATACTTGGAGCGAACCCCCTGCTCGAGCTCCCAAGTAACTTCCTTAACTCCGTGATGCCTCTAAAGAACCTTTACCAACGGTATTGTCTTTTTCCTCAACACCTTCTGCTGTGTGTCAAGGATCTGTATTGGTCCCTCTTCGTAGGAAGCATCCTTATCAATG